AAGTTTGGTTTATCGGATCCCTACGTTCGCGAGCGTTTAGAGAGTTTGAAAACCGATTAGGAGTGTATTTGGAAGTATCAAAACTAACAGATACCTTGTGCAGTCCGGCTGCACGGAACTCGACCGTTCGGGTTTCAAAGTTGCCGGTTGCCTCGCCGCGACATTTATTAACCTCGCCATCAAAGTTAGCCATCGGAGTATCTGTTCTGCCTCCGGATTACCGGAGAGTATCGGGAAAGCAGAGATTAACGCTTCTCGATTTGACGAGGTTATGAGCAATAAAATCTATTGCCAGAAGCTTCGATCGTTCCCTCAAGCCCCTTACACGTATTAACTTGATAGCTTGTAACTTATAAAGTCCGGTACATATATTACTATCTGTAATATTTATTTACGTCCAATCGATGATACGAATTTATTAGGATTCCTTCCAAGTCTACCGACTGGAGAATCGCCCTATACATTTCTTGTTCTATCTCCTCGGTCGCGTGAGAAGCTACGCGCAAACATGGAACCAATTGCTCGATAGCGACTAAACACGAGCAAAACGATGATGTTAAACGATGAAGGGTGGTAGGGAGAGGTTAACGAAGGAAGGCAGAGCGTGGGGCTCGAAGAAAGAAATCGGAGAAGCTGTCAATCGAGGGCCATGCATCTGCCACTTACTCGGCGCACCGCCACCCTCGATTACGGTACCTTTTTTCCCCACAATGACGCTCCATTTCGTCACAATTATCGCCATTATTCGGCGCGAGAAGAGCATTTTAGCGACGCCGCACAATGGACCGGTATCTATATACATACATACCTGTGTGTATATATATACAGGGTGTCCCAGTAATCATTGCACAACCGAAAAGTAGATTGTTCGCGCGAAAACAGTCGATAGAACGTAAAATAAAATCTTTTTGCACGACATTTTGTTATCGAACGGAATAACTTTGGGTACCATTGTGGCCAACATTTTAATAGAATTAACTTCACGAGGTAGCTGTCAAAACATTTTAATCGAATCCGTTGTACGAAGATACTCCGAAATATTGGAGTTAGTTACGAACTAATTTTATCCCACACATTCGACTTGCATTTGCATGAGAAATGTACGATCAGTAGAACACCCTGTATATGCACGATTCGGTGGTAGTGTACACATTTACAAGCGGTCGTGGGTTACGTGGATCCCGACCAGAGAAACCGACCACCGATTCTTCCTTTGATCGCGTTTTATTGTGTTTTGACAGGCTCGAGACCGATTTCGCGCGGTCGCCATTGCCGTTTCCCTGACTACTGGCCACCCCCGAGAACCGATCTTATCCACGAGCTCGTCGCGAGACACCTAACGCCTCATTATACTCGTCCTGGCCCAGCAATCGTATCTGATCGGACCGAATATAGAGTTACCGGTTCATCGGGAAAAAAATTTAAAACGGTCGTCGGTTTTCCGAACGATTTCCAGAGCTTTTCATTTCGAGCTCCAGTTTTGCGTGATCCTCTTTCCGTTCGCGCGATCTATATCTTTAAAACGTTCGTATATTAGTTTCGTGCATCTTTTTGAATTACTACGACTGAAAAGTTCCACTGAAGAAAGTGTGAACGGACTTGTGTCTCAAAACTGGTAGTGGTCCAGGTTTTGTCCAATACTTGTAGAGTTTTATAAGCGATTTGTGAGGTCTGTGGACGGTGTTGGGGCGATTGGTTCGATCGGTGAAAGGTTGAAGGCTTCTATCGACACCGTGAACTTTAAACGAGATGTAGGTACGAGAATATCGCGATTACATTCGACGAACACGTTCGTGCCGATTGATACTAGGCAACGTTGTATTTCCGCGGACGGGTACACAGAAACGGAAGAACGACTGGAACGGAGAGGGGTAGGGGTCGATCTGTAGGGGAGAAGGGACGACGAACCAGCGACGAGGGTCGTGGTGGGGCGCGGAGGCTGTTATTTGCAATGAAACGCAACAATTGCAATCGGAGTCGATGCACGCAGCCAGCGTTCGTAAACGCCATATTGCAGCTGGGGCCGGTCTGAAAAATAGTGTTTTTGTGCAAGCCGAAACGGCAGATATGAAACCAGCATGGCGGATGCTTACAAATAGTTGCAGGGCGGCGCCTCCATATAAATGCGAGGCCGGTCTCTTTTCCTTTTGTTCGCGAATCGAGCAAGGACGAAAAGGATTCTGTTGAAAGAGGCTCGCTGTTGCACGCTACCCGGAGGGAAGAACTGTGGAAATTTCTCGTACCTCCCCTACGGAACTACCCCTAACTGACTGCCGACCCGGAGACTTGGTTTCTTTTTTATAGTCATTAACGGGGATCGTCCGCGTGCACGCTGGAGTCGAGAAACTTTGGTCGAAAACGGTCCAACGATTCAAATTTTCTGCAAAAAATAGTACCACTGATACTCTGCTTGCATATGAAATAAGAAGACAAAATTGTGCGATTTTTGTGCCAGCATGTTTAGTGAGACTAGTCGATGTGTTCTGAAAATACCGAATTTTTCTTTAAGAACAAATATGGTGGTCAAACATTGTATCATTCTGACGAGTAAAGCGATGAATAAATTTCTTGTAGGTTGATGTAGGGTTCTTACGATATTTCAATTTTGTGTTTGATCTATACAGGATTAAATAATCATTTTTATTGTCTTTGAATATGGGTTCTCAACCAGGGCAAGAATGCCTTTCAAAAAGTATTCGAGAAAAGAATAGGCGAAACATCTCAATTATCAACATATTTTGTCAACGATCATCACTTTAAAGAACAACAGAAAATTTGGGGTATTTGCCTACATTTTAATACGCGAATATAGAGAATTTGATGAATTACGGAACAGAACAGTATCTTTTAGTTTATTTTGCGTTTAAATTGATAAAGAACGTGCCACCAATGTCTAAGAATTAGATTAGAAACAATTTAGTCATCTTCATATCGATACGAAAGTGTTTAAAAATTGTAAGGGGAAGTATAATAATTGCTCATTTACAATTTATTTGTAAAATTCACTCTCTAGAGTCAAATAGTGCTGCTTTCGCATCTGAACTTCTCAGTTGTGTCGCAAGCCTTACCCGTTACATTTTTTACAATCTTATTACGTTGTCATGCGTAACATAATGATTACAGTGCTGTCTATCAATAAATATAAAGCGTATAATTTACTAAAAATAGAAAACACGATGTTTGTACCAAAATCGTATCGATGAAATTAATTGAAAGTGTCGATTACTGGGTTAATGTTAAGATTAAGTACATTTACTTTATCTTATTAATTTGTAGCATGATTTATAACGTAACTACTCTCGTAAATACTCTTCTTGGTTGCTGTTAAACTAAGAATGAATTTTATTAAAAGAATTCCTTAAACGATCCATAAAGATAGGTTAAAGTTTACAATTTGATGAATCAGGATTGTTTATATAAGATTGTTCTACTCGTACCTTTCGAATAAAATCATTAGACTGTGTTAATTGTAAAAAACAAACAAGGAATGATCATTTGTTGATTAGTTGCTTAAAATCACTGTTAAATAGCTATTTATCGCATAAAACACCCGGTGCATATAAAATAATACCGTAAACTGAATAATTTCACTAAGGTATTAGTAACTAAAGGATAGAAGAAACCATTGTTATGAAATAAATGATGAAAACAGTGTATTAGTGGATAAAGTGTAGGATATTGTGGCTAAAACAGTATAAAAGATAAGTTATTTGATCTCATTTCCTTATTTGGTAATTTAACAATTTATGAAACATGTTTGCTTCTTCAGTTTTAGGGGATTGTTAATAAAATAATCAGAACATGTTTTTTTGAGTGCTAATGTGGCTATTGGTGGTCTATTTACTTCCGGAATTTGACAAAGCATTTAGTTTTCCAAGCAATTGGAAAATATGGAAGTATACTCCAAAGCATACTCCAAAGCATACTCCAAAATACAGTAGAAGTATATAAAACAAGTGTTATTTGTTTTTTACGTGCTATTACTTTAAACAAACAAAATATTTAGAGGTTCGAGTATACTTGCAATATACGTGATCCCATCTACCCTACTGAAAATCACTATTATAAATGACAAAACCAATCATTTTGACCGTCTCAATACCGATCGTTCGAAAGAATTTATCGCAGCATTTAAAATTTCTCAAAGACGGCGAAGTAAATAACAGAATCTAACGAATGCGAGTTGAAGTATAAAGAAGAAGAGGAACGCGCGAAGCATAATTCATCATCTACGGAGGAAACAAATGAGCCAGAACGGAGTACCTTTTGGTCAGCGATCCTCGAAACGAGTCGACACTAGCCGGAAACATCTCGTCGCCTATTCCCGGACGAAAGAGGAAACGCATTGGTGGTCCTCCCGGTGTACGGATCGGGTATGATATCGAGCTTTGTAGCCGGCCAGATAAGAGACAACGACAGCGTTAGCCAGCACCATGACAAGGCGACGCCGTCACCACCACCGCCCCCGGGTGGTAGATTACGGAATGCAGGATCAATATCCATCGTGGTAGGTGTGGCGGATGGCAGAGGGTTCCATCTTCGGCCGCCCTCTCGGTGCTTATTGGTCGGAGAATCGGTACACGGGTTCTGGTTTCCCGGCTGAAACCCGTACACCGTTCTGGGTAAACGGGCGGAGCCTGCCGTTTCTCCCCGAGGATCTAGTGGGGAGAAGCCATCGGTGCTCCTGGCAGACGGCCGAATCGTAAATCATGACCAGTCGGTCGCACGAAGCGCATCGTGACAAACAGCCTGAAAACCGTTGGAAAACATCGAGGTCCGCGATCGATCGCCGCTACGAGGCAATCTGTAATTTCGTTTCGTTAACCCCATCGACAGTTCGCGCGATCAGTGACGCAGACCAACCCCGCGATCGTCGACGAATGCCTCGAGGAAACAGATCGTGAAGTTTAATGTGAAACTTGTGTAAAAGCCAAGCCATAGTGATCGATCCTTACGACCCGTCGGGAGATCCGAACGGGAGCCAGGTTCAGACAGAAATCATGTGCAGCAACGAGAGTCCACCCCCGGCGAAGGAGCCGCTGGCCGTCGGTCTGGGCAACCCTATGGCCGGCTTCCTGCCCGGCCTCGAACACTACCGACTCCAATTGTACCATTACGCGATGGCGGAGAGGTTAAGACTGGCCCAGCAACTGCATCCCCAGCATCCGGGGGTCGGTCATCCGCCGTCCAGTGCTACAACTCACCTGGCGATGAGTCCCGGATTCCCGGCGCCGTTGCCTCTCTACCCGGCGGCCGCCGCCGCGGGCTACCCCAGCAGATTGGCTCTGTCCATGGCTCTGTTGCATCCTCATCATCAGCGAATACCGGAAGAACCGAAGCCCCAGCACAGCTACATCGGTCTGATCGCCATGGCGATCTTGTCCTCCCCGGAAAAGAAGCTGGTCCTCTCTGACATTTATCAGCACATCCTCGAGCACTATCCATACTTTCGTACTCGCGGTCCCGGCTGGCGGAACTCCATCAGGCATAATCTCTCTCTGAACGATTGCTTCGTGAAGTCTGGCAGAAGCGCGAACGGAAAGGGCCACTATTGGGCGATCCACCCCGCGAATCTCGAGGACTTCCGACGGGGAGACTTTCGCAGACGCAAGGCTCAGAGGAAGGTACGCAGGCACATGGGGTTGGCGGTCGACGAGGAACCGGACAGTCCGAGTCCTCCGCCTCTGCCAGCCACGCCGCCCCCGCCGGCGACCCTCGGACCCGTTGCCTCGCAGCCCATACCCGGCATATGGACGCCCCATCACCATCATCCCCATCACCAGCAACAGCAGCAACAACAACAAAGCCAACAGCAGTTCCAGAGCCAATCTCTGCGACAATCGTCGTTCCAACCGGCGAGAAAGAGGCAGTTCGACGTGGCGTCCCTCCTAGCGCCGGACGACCAGCACCAAATCGAGTCCGATCTCAGGCCGGTCAAGTCGAGGAGGTTCAGCTGCAGCGAGGACGAGCTCCACGATCTACAGGAGCCCGACCAGGACGAGGAGGACGTGGACGTGGACGTGGTCGCCGAAACGAACGCTCTACCCTCGCCGAACACGCCGTCGGCCAGTCCGGACGCCAAAGTCATCTCGTCCGACGGCCACTGGACCAACCAGGGCATTCAGAACTCCAGTCCCCAGTTAGCTGGGTTACATATCCACAATCATTTGCAAGTCAGGAGTTACTACGTGTCCGCCGCCTCGAGTAACGGGTCCAGCGTCTAATGGGCCCTAAGGAACCCGCGCCAAGTGTTCCGGATCCGTCGTTGTCGAAGTGACAATGGTGGCTCGACCTAGGGAAATTCCTCTCGTTCCGTTGCTAGTTGGTGCCAACTAGTGCCAAAATTATCGAGTTGCTCCGATATGCCAATCCAACGTTTACCTCGGACCTAAACGACAGTGCGAGATTCGTTGACGAAGTGAACTCTGGCGCCGAGCAACGAGATCCTCGGTTCCCTCGAGTCCCATGTATCGTGCAACATGTGTTAGGGAAAGAATATATGTGTACTATATAAATAAATGTATAAGGAATGTATGTATGTTCCCTGGAATTCAGGGGTAGAATTCCACCTGAAACGCGCCGGGTGCATTTTGACGATCCTTAAGGGTTAGCCTTTCGCGGCTACGTTCTGGGTAAAAGAGCTCGCGGAGGAACTTTTCTGGGCCCGTTGGAAGAGATTTCAAGCCGTGAAAGGTTAACCGCTGACCTCGAAAGAACACGTTCGCGGCTGCCCGGAACGCGCCGGAGCCGTCGCCAATGAGCTCGCGGCGTCGAATCCTCGCGTTCCGCCAATCGGAAGTCGGTACGTTTTGCGGTGGGACGGACCAGTTTGTTTGAGGCCGGTGTCTCGGTGTATTTATTCGCGATACCGATGTGGTAATCGATATCGGCGGTGCCAATCGTGGGATTCTACCCGCGAGTTTGGAGATTCGTGTAAATAAAAGAGAGAGAGAGAGAGAGAGAGAGAGAGAGAGAGAGAGAGAGAGAGAGAGAGAGAGAGAGAGAGAGAGAGAGAGAGAGAGAGAGAGAGAGAGAGAGAGGGAGAGAGGGAGAGCCGCAAGACGATCGCGTCGTCCTTACGAAAACTCGTGGGGGTCACCAGACTGAAGCGAACCCGGCTTGTTCAAAGTGTAATATAAAATAGTTTAAAGTTTAATATAGCTCATCTTTATTATCATCCGTGTACCGTTTCCGAACGGTACAAGAACGTGCACGAAGATATATTCTGCGCGAGCCCTTGACCTTCTGTATGTATGTATGTATGTATATGTATCGATATATACGTGCTTACGTATAATTGAAATGTATCACGGTATTACACACCTCGGTACGCGGAGATCGTGATACGGTCGTCCTGTAAGCAAGTAAGACACCATTTTTTAAAGATCACTAACACGTAATAAAATGTCGTCGACCTGTTTGGATTCTCAGCGTGGTAATGCCGCGCTAGGTACAATTGAAATTGAATAAAGTTTCTGTTCCCACGAGCTTCTTCGATCTTTCTCACTGTTTACCTGCTCCGTTTTGCGCATACGTCGTTTGTCGAATGAACCATGGCAATTAAAAGAAATTTAAGATATTCGCTGGACGACAAATTTCCATGAAAACACCGTCTACTTGCATCGTGTTGTTTAATGCACTCTTCGTGTGCCCAATCCTTGCACTCTAATATATTGCATCCATTTTTCATTTGATTTACTAGAGCTAAACCAGTCTATACACTTAAGGCAATAGTATTGTTTGTTTCTATTGTTAGTTTTCATTAGTTTCTCCTTCTAAATTCGAGTTTAGTGTCTTTTTGTTGTTGAGATGACGAGGAAAATTTAAATAATTCAGTGTGAAGAACTTCAATTTGTTTCAAATCGCAGTAACAATAATAAAAAAAACATCAACAGTTTGAAAAAATAGTATCTAATAAGGGAATTTAAACAAACTCGCTTTTTTCGCTTTTAAATATTTTAACTTGGTAGATAATCTCGAATTTTAACACTAGATTTAGAGAACCCGTATTTTAATGTAACCGCCAACATGACAGGTTTCAATAATAATATGTGCAATCAATGCACGTAAATCTAGTGAAGAAAAATAGAAAACACGAAGTTGTGAAGTAACGTTGGTAAGTAAAGCTTATATAACACATTTTAACTAAGTTTGCTTACTGAAAAATTACTTCCTGATAAAAGTAATAATTCTGAACACGACTTACACCGATACTAAAATCTAAAATATATGAAACCCTCTAGATCTAGCGTTATTAAACCCGTTAAATCGGTTTAGAGATGTGTTCGATCGAGTATGATAACGAGGTTAGCGTGTTGACGGATGCTTCGATATACGATTGCACGGTGGTACTCTTGACACGAATACCTCAGCTATATTTCTGACTGTTTCAACGACTTCCACGAAGCGCAGAAAAATGTAGAAGTTGACACAAACATTCCGTGTGGATTTGCGCACAGATGGAAAACGTGAGGAGACCGAGAATATTGTTTGCCCCGATAACAAACATTCTGCCGTGCCCATTAGTTATTGCACGCGAGAATTCTTCAAGATTTCCTGCGCGCAAAATATGTAGAAAGTTTTACAGTTTATGGTTGGCGGATACAAATTCCATCGGGAAATAGCAGCAAACAATAAAAATTCAGATCTAGGACTCGATGGATTAGATAGTAGATTAAATAGATTAAGTTTGCTTGTTCTGTACGAGGATACAGTGTAAGATGTGTTTTACAATATATAGTAGTATTTATTTAGTTATTAGTTATGATATTGCGAAATAGAGTTTTCAAAAGCTAGTCAAATCTATGAAAACCGATATTAATCGATTTAAATTCAACGCAGAAAGGCTTGATTTTAATGTTTAAATATGTTCAAGTGTTAAATAGTGTAATTTACATTAAAATAAGGAAGATAGGTAATATCGTATGGTCAGAAGTTTTAATGAAGCGTTCGTGATTTTTGTGCTCTTCGGTGGTTTCTTACTTTTAATCATAGTAATTGCAAATATACACTTCATCGTCTTCGTCAGTTCCGCTACACTTCTCGCGAGTCCAGTTTCAACATTCAAGCTATTAACAATCTAAACATAGGTTTGGAAAGGCAGATAAAACGTGATTCAGACAGCATACTTGTCGTTTTATTATTTGTCTTAATCTCAGAAATTGGCAAAAATTACCAGAAATCCATCGTAAAAAATGTCAACACAGTCTTTAGCCTATTCAGCCTTCATATTGCATATTGTTTTCGATATTTTATCTTTATTGCAGTTGAAACTGCAATATGTGAATGCTGAATTTTGCAACAGTTTCCAGTAGACATTCTCAATTTGTTATTCAAACGACGAGCGCTACAAATACGTTGAATATAATAAATATTATTGTGTCGTAATCGAAATTTTGCATATATTTAAAAAACATAGATATTCCTTCAGCGTTTCGAGTTCCATTCTGCGGAGTCATCGCTAATCGATCATTCATTTGCTTGTACTTTTAGTCGTTGTACATCGTAACGCGTCTTTTTAGATAATCCTGTCAGTCTTCGGGCTTCGATAACAGGATTAGAATATTAGAAATCGTATGCCAAAATATTTTAGCATACAAATAGGACAGATAGCGAGGAACGACGTTTGAAACGATTATAAATAGAAAAATTAGCTCAAAAAAATAAAATAACTTCGTACTTCAAACTTGTGACCGGATCAAACATTTAATTTCACGTTCGTTGTCGCGTTTTCGTAAATTTCCTCGTTGGAAAATCGTGTCCCCGACGCTTATCCAAGACTTTTCCACCTGGTTACCGTTTAACACCGTTCGATTTGTTTGTCGCAAATAATTCTGCCAGCAAATCTGCCCTAATGGGAAACACACTTGTCCCAAGGATGTTGCTTGGAAATCCATAAGACAAATCCGTCGGTAATCGGATAATCTGTTTTCCTCGAACGTTTCTTCCCTGTTTCGCTTACAATGGGAACCATATTTAATCAGATCCTAACATTAGCGTACCACGAATCTATCAACCGTACGATTACGACCCGATAAACAGCGGTCTTTGTAAATAAATTATAGGATAATTCTCAATTTACTTTCGTCCGCCCTTTTAACTATTCACGGTAGAAATTTCGTCCACCGTTGCAAACGGGGCACGAGGATTAGAATTTTGCGGAATTACGCGAAAGCTGTCGCGAATAGAAAATTAAACCGCCCTTCTGTATGACTTTCGTACGATCGTGTGCTTCGGCGACAACAATGCAAGATTTTCCGGATTCTATCACAAAGTGTTCCATTGTCTCCCGGTTCATCAAATGAAGCCTTAAACGATCGAATTGCGAGCGTCAACTTAATCTTCGATGGTACTGCGCCGCAACAGAGGAGGGAAACCCAACGACGGGAACGAAAGCAATTTGTTAAATATTGCTTCCGACGATGTAAACGACACAAACACAGGATGGTTCTCGACTACGATGGTTCTCGATTTAAGAACACTGACAAATAATTACGTACACGATTACGAACAAACAATGAACAGCAAAGGATGGTAAATAGTGTCCATAGAACAGGAGTAAATACAAATTGTCATCAAATATTATTTATACGAGGGAAAAATTTTTTAACAGATCCGGAATTCATGAATTCTATCAAAATTTATTTTCTGCAACTTAAATTATACGTTTCCTACGTCGTTTATTATTCGAGTAAAATTCTTACCATCTCTGGTAGTCGCCACAGGCTCCGAGGATGAAGGAATTTTCGCGTTGACGTGGATCGCGCGATCCTTCTCGTACGATCGGGGTTCCCAGAAAGAGGCTAGAAGTCTGCTTCCCAAGCAGGGTGTTAGAAAAACAGTCAGAGCGGCGTTTGCTTGCTCGATGGCCCATTCGAGCTATGCAAACTCCGTTCTGGTTTGTTGTTCCAAACCCACTAAGCGAACTATCGTTCCAAGTTTTCGAATATTTAACAAATAATGACGCGGCAACGCCGTTTCGAACGAGATCACGAACTCAAAGATGGATCGAGCGTCGACATCCTTCGAACAACACGGTCCTTCGGTAACCTTTTATCCCGGGATGATAGATCGAAATCATCCTCGCATGTGTAGCCATTGCAAATTGCAGCATTGCAAAAGAAGTCGATGTGTTTTAACGTTTTTATAAATCGTTGAGGAAACATTTAAACATTTTTTAGTATATTTATTAAGCATCAAACCCATCTACTATTCTGATACATTT